GGGGGAGGGGGAGAAGGGGGGAGGGGGAGAAAAAATTGATAGATGAAGTCGCTTCCGCGGACACTTTTTTGGCTGAGTGAACAATCTTGTTATGTACGATCTTTGGTTTTATTTAGGCATATTTAGCGTACATGTGTATTAATGTATCTGTGTGTTTATGAACGCTACTGTAGATCAAATTTCCAAAGGAGATCGATAAAGTGAAACGTAAAGAAACAATATTTCTAGTTCTATTTAGTGTTTTACTAGCGTATCCATACGACGTGGGGAACTCTGTGCCACCACTTAACCCTATCCGTACGTCTTGTTTTACTATCGTATCCATACGACGTGGGGAACTCTGTGCCACCACATTCCAAAGAGGAAATTTACTCGTTGCTCCGATCCGTACGCTTTACGTTGCAGTCTGTCAAAATGATCTTTTAAGAAATACTGAAAGTTTCAAAGAGATCTTCGTACTAGAAGTATTCTAAAAAGTGAAGAATACAACCCCCGGGGTACAAAATGACCCCAGGGCCTACGGATAGTGTAAAAGGTGTGCAATTTATGTTTTAAACATTCGGTAGGAGCCGTGTATCGTGGCTGAGTCCGAAATGTGTTTCATGCCGACGTGCTGAAAGCTGTAGGGCCGATATCTTTGGCCTTTCACGTCCCCAAAACCTGACTGGTTTAGTTTTGGGGGGCGACTTTCTGGCCAACTCATGATTGTGCACGGGTTTTAGTTTTTCCCCGTGCACCGATGAGTACGAATTCGGTCGACTGGACACACACTGAAAACTCAACGGGATATAAGAGAGAGCATGAGTCCTACCGAGAAGATAAACAAGACACAGCAGTCGCCGGGCGCCCGGGGCCCCACTAGATCTACGCCCTACTACAACCCATGCGAAATGAAATGTCTCCGCAAGACCATTAACATCACTAGACGAGACAGGCAGAGAAATGAAGAAGTAAGAGCAGCTATCGGCACTGAGTCCTGCCTGCGTTACATAGAAAGTCAGAGGATAAAATGCTTTGGCCACCTGTTACGTATGTCACCTGGCCAGCCAGCCTCGAGAGCCTACAACACCAAGCACTCAGGCTATAAAGGAAGAGGAAGACCACGCAAAAGGTGGATCGAGGATGTCAAGGAAACCCTGAGAAAACATAACATCACGACTGAAAGAGCTGCGGAGCTGGCCTACCATAGAAAACTGCAGAGGATGAACAAGTAGAAGTAAAGTTCTACAACTCGAGCCTTGGAAGTGAACGGTAACGTGAGTTAAAACTGCACAGCCGAACAATATGATTTCCCTAAGAATTGACTGCAAACTTGTCAAACTGGTTGGTTGGCGGGTGCTCTGGTGTGGTTTGCTCCTCTTTTCCTATCAAACATCTATCGTCCTTATCTCCCCTCTTCCTTCTTTTTTATATGTTACTCTCTTGTGACACATCTATTCTTCGGCAATTAAATGATGGCCTTATTGTGTTGCAAGTGCCGTAAAACTCTTACTAAAAACTCAAACTAATTTTTTTTAAACTTACCGAACTTAAGCATGATGCGGTGTCTGTGGGCGGGTGGTATCTGTTGGCAGGGTGCAGGGAATGCGATGGTGTGCGGTTTGAAGTCTGGAGAAAGGATCTGGCATATTTATACGACTTGCTGTTCAATATAATTTGATCCCATGGGCGGGTCTAATGTTTGTGTGAGCTTATGATGACTGGTCGTTGCAACATCGGTGACTGTACGGAAGGGGTGGG